CCCCCCGCAAAGGAGCAGCTTCCTCGGCAGGACCTGAGCCATGCAAACATCCGCTTAGGAAAACCTTTATTAGTGCTAGGAACTGTCTAAAATCCAGTCATTGAAACAAGCAGGGTGGGACGTGACCATTACGAACGGCACACACACACACCAGTTTGCCCTTAGAAAAGGTTAACAGAAAAAAAAAAAACAACAAACCCAAAACCCAAACCTGAAAGGGACCTCTCTTCCCCGCCAGCCTGGGACGGGATGGGGACGAGGAGCTGGGGGAGGGGGGAGAAGGTGCAGCTCCGAAGAGCCCGGTGCCCGGCGTTGCTCCTGGGGAATCACCCACGCACAGGGAACAGCAGCGCTTGGGGAGGCATCGGGTCCCCCCGCTCTGCCTGGCCGCAGCCTTCGGCAGCACCGCTCACCGCACCGCCAGCAGCAGGGGTTACTGGAGGGAGGGAGAGAGTTATTTGTGGCCTGGGAAGGAGGGAGGAAAGTGCGCAGTTTCCCCGTTCAGCTTCAGTTCTCTCCCTCGAGAGAAGAGGTCTGAAAGAAAACCCTGAAAGCTCAGTAAAACATGACACTTAAAACACCCACAGCGTCAACTCGAGAGCGCCCGGCCTTGCGCAGCCGGCACCCGGGACAGACACTCGCCTATGCCTAAAACGGAGGGTGGGGGACAAAGACAAGATGCTCAACAATGGCCCCAGCAAGCACCAAGGAGCCGCTTCGCTGCTTACGGACCCGTCCACATGTCAGCGCAAGAGGGGACCGGCGAGGGAGGGCGTCACCGGCCTTCCCGGGTCACCAGAGGGGTCTGGGGGAGGGAGGTGACAGCAACGACTTTGTTTTTCTTCCAACGCTCTCATCAGCGGCTGCGGGGAAGGAAGCCAGAGCCGCTCCGGTGACGCAGCCCAGATGAGAGGAGAAGCAAAGGGAACAGCCCGGGCGGGGAGGGAGGCGCAGCGCGAGACCCTGGGGAGGGACGGCAGCTCCCACGCGCGGCCCTGGCCGGGACCGGGATGGTGGGCGGGAGCGCGG